CAATATCCTTGCCATTCCTTATTCTTATATGAGTCGGCATAGTCACAAATACCCCGAATAACTAAACATGGAAAGTCATTCATGAGCCCCGCCGCTTCCATTTCCACGCAGTACACTCCTAGGTCCTGAGCCAGCTAGTCTCGCCGTCTGCCATCTTTCACTACCTGATTTACAGATGCAATCAGCCCATAGTGAAACACGGGTACTCCATGGTCCCGTGGGGCTCCTAGCTTCAATTTGGACCGATCACAACCGATACATATATTAGATGCTCCGTGGTCATAGTCCGTTTCGTATAAAAGGTCCTCTTTGATTGGTTATATAAAATTTGCAGCTATACGCGGCGTCATTTTAGCTCGGACCTCAGAAATGAATTCAAGAATTCGACTTTCTTCCGTGAAGTGGTGGGCTTGAAGTGTAGCGAGGGCAGTCAGCAGGACCTTGGGAGGCCGGTTAAGTATCCCTATCCGCTGGAATTGACCACCGCTTAACACTTTACCGAGGTCGTATTGGATCACGCCTCCAGATGTGTCCGTTGGCTGGCTCACCACGATATCGCCAAGTCGAATGTCTGCGTTGCCGTTTAGTACTCCTCCACCAATACCGACCATCAGACCGAACCGGATAGAGCGGAAACTCGAGAGCAATTGCGTCGCGACCGTTACAGCTGATACGATGCCATATGCGCCACTTGGCAAACAGGCAATAACGACGTTGCGATCCCCGATATTTCCCAGAATATACGTATTTTGATCCGTCGGCGGGCGAGGCAGACTTGGGTGTATTGCGTCCAACATCAGCTTTGCGGCCGCCATCTCCAGGGGTAAAGCGCATATCCACCCGACCGTGTAATCGTCATGGGATAGAGTGGCCCTGGCTGCCATAATGAAACATCAAATGGTTGGCTTTTAGAGACTGAGTACGCTATTGTTAGTTCATAGGAACTGCGAGACAAAAATGATATCGAACCCCAGTCTCACGAATGGATGCCGTGGTTGATAAGAGGAGGGGCGGGGTCGGCCGCCAGTGAGGCTGAGGCGAAGTACTATCACGGCCAATCATTCTTGTACAGTGGAGATAAAATTATTGACAGATTGCCTGTTTAAGGAATGCCATGTTTGCTCATTTTGCATCGAATATTCCAGTCACATAGGCTCCTAGACTCCTGTAACTGCCATACTAGTATCATAAAACACGTGTGATTTATTCCCTGGTTCGGTACAAATCAGATAATTTACACACTATCTATATCTAAATTAGCGCATCCTATAAACAAGTTATATGAACTTCCTCCTATTGAGAACCCAGTAATGGTCTTTGGAATCTTGATCACATGATACGCTAATCTAGATGTGGTTATAGCTGTATCTGAGGTTCTCGTTCCAATGTTGAAGGGTATAATGCCAAGATAGAATACGAAATTGAGGAAGTCGTGTAGGTATTATTACAGCCCCAAGAATACCCACAGCCCCCACGATGTTCCCCCAAAACGACTGTCCCCATTCCAGCACCAACAACGCCCCAGCCCGCTGCAAAATGGCACGAAATCTCAAAAATTGGCAACGTCAATCCATTGTTCATATGACACGCAGCAGGAAGAGGCTGACCATTTCACAAATGGCCAAGGTCGCCAAGTGTAGTGAGCGATCTGTCACTAACATACGCAGGAACTTGCGGCTCTTCGGCAGCCCTCGATCCCCATCAGTCCCTGCCGGTCAGCCATCAATGCTAGACGCCCTTTGTGATCACCTCGCCGAAAAGCCCGGTTTATATATTGATGAGATGGCCATTTTTTTATGGGATGAGTTCAACATTTTGCCATCCCCATCGAGCGTCAAACGTGCTCTTACGCGAGCTGGCTGGACGAGGAAGAAAATTCAGCAGAAAGCGAAGGAACAGAACACTCAACTAAGAGATTTCTACCAGCACAAACTGTCCGAATATCGTTCTTACCACCTGGTCTTCGTTGATGAATCGGGATGTGATAAACGGGTGGGGTACCGGCGAACTGGATGGTCACCACTGGGCGTGACACCAGTCGAAGTATCTAAATTTCACCGCGGTCAACGCTATCAGATCCTGCCATCCTACACAGGATGGTGTCATCCTGTCTCGTATTTTCAAGGGGTCAACTGATGCAGTGTTCTTCGAATCGTTTATAACGCAACTTCTCCAGCACTGTGGAAAGTGGCCGGAACCGAAATCTGTGCTTGTAATGGATAATGCCTCTTTCCACCACTCGGACCGAATCAAGCAGTTGTGTACTGATGCAGGAGTCAAATTGTTGTACTTGCCGCCTTACTCACCAGATTTCAACCCCATCGAGGAATTCTTTGCCGAGCTGAAGGCTTATATCAAAAAATCCTGGTCGGCGTACGAAGCGAATCCCGACCAAGGTTTTCATATCTTCCTTCGGCGGTGTGTTCATGATGTTGGTGCGAAACAACAGAGCGCAGAGGGTCATTTTCGACATGCAGGCATAACAATAGAAAGGGCTTAAGTGATTCTCACTGTGAAAAATGTGTGCATATATTGCAAGTCAGATAGTGTGACAATACATTATACTAAACGGTTTCTCTCGAGAACAGAGCTTTTCCATTTCGATAAAAAGATCATTGCGTAGAATGCGCGAGACAATTAACCATACACATAAGAAGAATGTGTTATATACTGTAGTAACCAATGTATATTCCGCTGTTGTATACGCCAATGATCTAACTGCAACTACCAATGTCCGAAGCTAATATGTATCAAACGTCTCCAGCGCTTAGAAAACTCGTTCAGTCAATCCATTGCGGATCCAGCCGCAGTGGGGGTAAGATCATATTCTATTCGGCTCAGTCGAGTCTTTCACCGTCGGTATAGTCAAGTCGGTTTGATCCCACACCAGTAGCCCATTGGTTAATGTCGCGAAGGAAGCGACGAGCTGTTCCAATCTGGTCCAGTGCTCTGAATGTCAAAGTGAAGAAATTCAACCAAGCGCGGGTAAACGGCGGGAGTAACTATGACTCTCTTAAGGTAGCCAAATGCCTCGTCATCTAATTAGTGACGCGCATGAATGGATTAAC